TGGAGAAGATTTAACTTCTCCTCGCATTCCTTCTGATAATTAAAATGGGCCAATGAGCATCCTTCTGCAAGATTGGAGTCTCTTTGGGTGGTACTCTGAACCAAGTGCCTGCGCACGTTGAATATGGAATGGGTGCAGCAACTCTACATAAAATACGGCGCACATTACTAGGAGGCTTATCTTCAATTAACAGTAGTACTCCGTCTTCAGATTAGACGTTCATTCTACACCTTCCTATTTCTTCTTATCTCCAAGGCATTTCTCTGCACCATAGTCTAGAAAGTTCACTATACTGGGATACTCTAGCAGCAACTCAACCATTTCCATTGCGCAATCCATAAACGAAGTTTGCATATTACTGTGAAGAATACATCTTGCATGTAAATCGCAATAGTAGAATCACACAAGTGGAATAAGCACAGCATTGTCTCTGTCTTTTCCAAATTGTCAATGACAGTTACCGGATAAGTTCATAAAATGAGAAATTTCAAGATTAATGGTACCTGTATTTTATCTATCTTGTCCAAAAACTATTCATGATACTTGATTACTTAAAAGATATTTTGGAAGGTCATATTATCCGGAAGCTTTCCTCGACTACATTACATACATTTTACCTGCCCACTATTTTTTTCTACATGTCGACTTGAATATGCCGTAATATTTTTGACAATATATAAAATTACGGTTGAGCCGATTGCTATACCTACATTATAATAATAGTAATAATAATAATACGTGGCTTCGCCTCAACTCCAAAACAGCCCCCAAATTTATTTGCTGCCTTTATCGCTCTCCCTCGAACCATAACTGGGATGACCTACTTAAATACCTTGCCGTCAAGATCGACTTCCTGCACATCAATCACCCCACTTCAGAAGTAGTTCTCTTCGGTGATTTCAATGCCCATAATGAGCTTCGGTTGGGCTCAGACAGTACCGATGCAGCAGTTCGTGCAGTCGAAGCGTTCACTCTTACTCAAGGGCTGACCCAGCTGGTGAAAAGCCGTACATTTTTCCCCGCGTCTCGTCACACGCCAGTAGCCTGCTGGATCTCTTTCTGACCACGCATCCTGTCCCTTACAGTACTGCAGTCATGTCACCCCTGGGTAACTCAGACCACGGTGTTGTGGAGGTTAGGTTTCGGTCAGAACCCGCTGTGGCAGCAGAAACTCGTACAGGCCGCAAAACATGGCATTACGGACATGCCGACTGGGAGGGGCTCAGAGACTCCTTCTCTAGCTTTTCTTGGAGAGATGTCTGTTTCACTGATGCGGATGCGTCGGCATCCTGTTCTTCGATAGCAGAAATTATCCACGTCGGAATGGAGGAATACATCCCTCACACAGTGAAAGTGACTTAACCAGGGTCAAACGGCTGGTTTAACAAATCGTGTGCCACTGCTCGCCAGCAGAAGATCAAGGCACATAGAACCTTCTTACAAAACCCCACTGTAGAGAACAGACAAGCCGACGTCGAGTCCAGAAACAAATATAACGAAGCGGTTCACAATACCAAAAACCAGCACGATATAAAAGTTAGGCATAGGATAATGTCGCAGCGTAATGGAAGTCGGTCTTTCTGGACGCTGGCCCAGCAGATTGAAAAGAGCTTCTCACACAGTAGGCTCCCACCACTTACGTGTCAGGATGGAACGATTGTATCCGACTCAACGGCCAAGGCGGAAGTGCTTGCCAAGATCTTTGCTGCGAACTCCACCATCGACAACGCTCAAGTGCCGTCAATTCAAATGGTTCCCTACACCAGGGCTGTCCAACTTAATGTGGCCCAAGGGCCACTTAAAAAAATGCAGTTTGGTGGGCCGCATTATAAAATCTTTCTATACATTATTACTGAGTTTTAATAGGTATATGCATATTCGGTATTTGAGAGTAATTTATACTTGTGATGTATACATGACCCGTGACGCGGGCCGCCCGAAACGAGTTCGGGCCGTATGTTGAACAGCCCTGCCCTACACTATGCGCGAGGTACCATTCAGGCATAAGACCGTAAGAAGAGTGCTCTTGTCACTCGAAATCAACAAGGCTTCTGGTCCGGACTTGATTCCTGGCCATTGTACTGAAAAGGTGTGCAGCAGAGCTTGCTCCAGTTCTTTCGCGTCTCTTCCAGATATATTGTGAATCCAGAACCTTCCCAGAAAACTGGAAACTTGCTCATTTCCAACCCATCCCAAAAAAGGGATCTAATACCGACCCTTACAACTACAGGCCTATAGCTCTGCTGTCTGTTATAAGTAACGTGATGGAGAGGTGCATAAATGGCCAGCTTCTGGACTACCTTGAACGTCACAGCTTGATTAGCGACAGGCAGTATGGTTTCCGGCCCCAGAGATCCACAGGGGACCTCCTAGCTTACGTCACGCAATTGTGGAGCAAACTCATCCAGTCTTAAGGTGAGGTGACGTCACAAAAGCGCTCGATCATCCTATGTCCTCCCAGATGGGTGGCGAACTTTATCTCTGGCCGCAAGATATCTGCCGTAATTCATCCCTCAAAGTCAACGCGGGTGTTCCCCGGGGACCGGTCTTGACTCCGATACTGTTCCTCTTGCATATCAATGACCTCCTTTCCTGCACAATCAACCCAATCCACATCTTCGCTGATGCCAGCACTCTAATTGCAGGAATTCAGAGTGACAAGCCGATCTCTGCCGCTGAGCTGGAAAAAAGAAGACTAGCGACGATTTCCTCTCTGACAAGAGACCTGGAGGTTATCGCTGCTTGGGTATACAACAATCTTGTACAGTTTAATGCTTCCAAAACACAGTACTGTACCTTGACGAACAAAAAGCGTCCTATCGCTCATCCGGTTTCGATGGATGGCCGAGTTCTGCCAAAGAGCCATTCATTTCGGCTGGTCGGAGTCCAGATCACCGAGGACGTGATCTGGCACGAACACATCTCGTCAATAGCGGCACCTGCTGGGTAAAAGTTAGGTTATTTGTTTAGTACCAAGAAGTACTTTTCTCCGCATGACCTTCTCACTCTATATAAAGCCCAGACGAGATTGCTTATACGTGCTTATGCCCCGACTACATTATTTATGCTCGATGCTGTCCAGAGGAGGGCTGTCCAACTGATCGATGACTCTTCACTAACAGACGGTCTTGGAACCATTTCGCAATGGCGGGCCGTCGGCGATCTAGCTCTCTTTTACCGCTACATCAACGGGCTTTGCTTCTCAGAGCTCTCTTCTCTCATGGTGCCGCCGCGCGATGTGCCTGCCAGGCAGACTTGCCTGATTTTGGCCTCTCATCCTAACCGTGTCGAACTTCGTACAACTAGAACTGGCCGATAAGCCCGCTCCTTTGTCCCGAAGGGTGTCGAGATTGTGGAACAATCTAGAAGAGGAAGCTTTTCCCAGTTCTACTAACCTTAGGCAGTTAAAAAATCGGAATAACGAAATTTCTTTGGGATCATCATAGCAGCCGTGGTGTTCCTGCGTTTAGGCTTCTGCCTGCGCGATTGCTTCGGAATAAAAAAAAAAACTTTCCCGTGTGTATCCGAGTGTAGGGCCAGAATACTTATGATTTAATAAAACACAAACTTCAAGCATTTGACTGCAGTAATAAAAATAAGTCTAAAAAGTATATTGGAAATTGGAAAAATGGGACTATCGTTGTCACTAAAAATATACAAGGTGTTCCATTTGAAAAATAAAACTTTATTCGATAACTCTTTTCTGATACCCGGTATACAAAAAATATTAAATGCAAAACTTCAGACGTTTTAACTTTATATACCGCTTTTTCTTATAGAAGATCATATAAAAAAGTCAGAGGTGGGGTCAGTTTATAGAAGGAAATGTTATCCCCCGATCACCCCCGCTTGTTTGATCCAAGACTCTTGGGACACCCTGTATGTATTTTAAATAAGCAAATTATTGTTTGTTTACATTCCTGCTGATGATAATCAAGTAGGAGTCGGACTGTTATGAAGAGCTTTTTCATTTAAACGTAAATTATGATCCATAATCAGATATTAAAATCTATATCCATAGTTTATGGTTTTCAAGTATGAGGTCTGTACCGAAAATTCATCAAGATTTGAGTATCCTTCTCGTTACACAGTCCCTCAAAGGATAAGAAAGTGGTGTGTGCTTGGGTCGGACTTTGTTTCTCCCATGTAATTTTTCAAGCTGAACACGAATCTAAAGTCCAAATTGGGGAAAGATAGTCAAATATGGAAGAAATATAAATATCAGTATCTTTTTTATATTTTTGGTGGTTGTGCCTCTATCAGAGACCTCCGAAGACATACACTCCCACCCAAAAAAAATATGCAAAAATGCCTAATCTTATGCCTGAATTACTTTTTTATTTGTCCACTGACCCCCAACTTTGACTTCATACTGGTGTTCTCCAAGATAAAATACATGGGAAAACGACCTCCAGCACATACCACTTTATATTTTGTGGAACTGTGTTATTATCTTGATCAAGAAAGTTGCAGCCAAGCACGAAGAAGGCTTTTCAACTCCCGGACAATCACAACGTTCGTCTATTAAAAGAGATCATGCTGTACGAACTTCTGTAGCGCTTTTTATCTAAAGAAGCACATGTGCTTGAGTTATTAGTGATATTATTAATTATACGTTAAGATTATCTAAACGACATCGATAAGATTGTCTTTCATGATGAGTACTAGTTCGTAAGAAGACATATTAAAATTAATGATTGATCAAATTGATCAGTTTCAGTACTCGGGTACCAGAGCTACTCTAAAAACCAAATAAGAAAATGAAATCTATGAGACATACTACTTATAGCGATTAGTGCCGTGGAGTGATAAATTATGGTGCATTCAGCGAGGCTAAATAAAATCATGCTGAAGGAGCCTTCCTCACAATATCTATTAGCTTCTGTACTAGTAAAGAACATCTAGTTACAACTAGCGAAAAAGCACATTCTTACACTTGTACACTCAGAGCCTGAATAGTCGATTCAAGATGTGGATGTTAATAAAACGTTAGTACTTACTCCTGGATGAAACGAGTAGGTGCTACAAAATTGAACAAATATTCATATTTTTGATATTAATAAGCTTTTAGGGCGTCGACTATCAACTTAGAGAATTTAAAACTAAATTGAATTGTTGGTGAAGATATATGAAATTGATGATGAAATTAGTTCAGTATTTGAACGTAGCAGATATGTGTAGTCCTGGTATTAAAGGTATCATCACATTCGTATTCAGAAGTCTTGAAGTGGCTTATTTAATGTATTTTCAGCAACTTGTTAATTTTGTTGGTTTTAAGTTCTCTTGGTTGGTGGCCGCTGCCTTTCATAAACAAGACACAAGTCACACTGTTCATCTAGGTAGATGGTTGTAGGTTTACACTGTCATTTCTTACTACTGTCAATTCTACTTTGAAATATCTAGTCATCAACATATCGAAGCATGCAGTCGTGTTGCTAAAGCATTCAAAATGTAAAGACCCCGGAATAACTTTACTGTGAATCTAAACAAAATTAATTAAACGAAAAAGTTTACCTAGTTCAAAATGTGCTTTTAATTTTGAAACGAAAAGGTATTTTTAGTATGAGAAGTTTTGGTGTTTATTTTCGATATAAAATATATCTTAGAAATAGGATATGAAATATTTTCAATTTTAAAATTAAGAACCCAGTTCTCAAATAGGCAGACATTTTGATATGTATTATTTACTATTCATCAAGTGTGTTCACTTTATATTTCATTTATTTGCTCTTTTCGGAGAGCAAAGCCCCAGAGCGCTCCATTGGTTGAGAGAAATTGTAGTGGTTAAATCATCACTTCTATTTCTGTCGTTGAAAGTGTTGAGCCAACCCTTATACCTTATTTGTGTCGAATCTGAATGAAATTCGATACACATGGTCTTGAGGATCTTTTTTGCACGAATACTCGTATATTTGAAAAATTATATCGTTGTTTAGACGCCAAATTTTTTAATACGCACGCGATTTATTGCATATATACAGGTTATGTCAACTAAGTTACGTAAGGGTACGTGTCCAATTGAACCGGATTAATAAAATGCCAAGCATTCTTCACGAAATTTTAATAACGTCGATGCTGCTGTATAGAATGAATCCATCATGACTGTGTGCAAAAACAATTGAATTACAAAAAATGAGAAACGTATTTAATTTACATCTTACTGTATTTTGTGCTGTGTCCTTATATACATGTATAATTATTTTCCTTTCATATATCAATGCCATCGGATATTTTTATGGATTGTAATTGAATAAAAATCTATAAATCCATAAAAAAGTAAAACAATTTTCTGGCTTCTCGGGATTCAAGCCATATTCTGAGATTTTTTGCATCCCAAGAATTCAACTAGGTATGAATTATGTAATAAGTGCCGGCTTATTTGAATACAAAATAGAATATGACATTTATGTTGCTATGTGGAGTGGTTGGATATTATTAGTGGAAGGCTGTTCTAAACAATGATCCACCTTGGTATTCAGATATTTGGAGCTTCATGAGAGGTCTGTTTTTTTTTATACTAGAACTTTCACGGAGACTCTAAGAGCAGCAGACACCGTCATGGTGTAAGGGGGGCTTTCGAGTGGGCTGCACTTGTCTAGTGGGGTATGTATTATACCTCCTCGGTTGATACACAACCGTACGCTGACTAGTGAAATAACACAGCAATGATACCCAGGTCTAAGCAGGTACTATATGTTCAACAATATGCGGACGTCTGATGCAGCAAATGACTAGATGAGCAGTAAATATATGATGAAGAATTCGGAAGGACCACGAGATCCTCTCCTATAAGCTGATCTGAAATATTTATCTTAATGAGCCCTAATCGTCTTAAAACGTATTCTAGAGTAACAGCGATGCCCTCACTATATAGCCGATCCCTAGCTCTCTTGGTATTCGTGTCAAGTATTCGGAAGGCATTGTATTAGCAAAGATCGCAAGGCCCTGCCAGAGGTCTCAGTCAGTGGAACTCATTTATCTTTCATTGGGTAGGTATAAAACGTAGTCAGTCTTAGCAGCACTTATGCATAAATAGCTTGACGTTTTCTCGCTAACTTGCAAGGCGACAGATCTTCTTTAGGCGAATGTCACACGGTCAGTATTTATTGTGGTCCGTATCATTTGTAATTACTGACCCTTTCTTTAGTGTCAGTGTATTCCTGGGTAACCTTATACATCAATAATAATTATTACTGAATTTCTCGCTGCACGGAAAATACATAAACATTAGACTTCATGAGAAATACTGATGGACTCACAGTAAGTACGGATCGTGTGACATTCACCTAACGACATTGAGCTAGTTCATAGCAACCAACTATACAGGGAAAGCTAAATTTGTCTGACGACTTGAGTTTAATGTGTACGAGAGGGAAGCGCAAGAAGTGTGTATCAACACATGTTAGAAAGAGATAGAAGCCGGCTGAAGAGCGAAGTTCATCACCACATTGCCTAGCAACGGTAACGGAGAAGGTCATGCAATTGCCAATATGTTAAACCAAAATATGTTCGCACAGGCTTCTACAATAGGTTAGGTTACTGTCAAACCCCAGAAGAAGGTCTATTCGAACATTTCATTTAATATTTTGTTTTCATTTGGTTAGAATTACTTGTTTCAATTTTGATGCGACTTGGTGTTTTAATTTATTTTAGAATCATCGATGATTTCCACCGATGGTGATAAAATCAACACATCCTGAGGTATTGTTACGTAATAGAAAATTATTACTACCTGCATGTACGCAGGTGAAAGCCATTTCGAAGCAGGACGAACCACTACGATCGCTGGATGAGTACTAACCAAAATCCTCAACTATGATCATGGAGTGGAAACCTTGCGTTGTAATTTACGGTGCGGTGTTATCAAACGAACCAATGATGGAATGTTTTAGAATTTGTGACGATCCTGACCTTTAGTCTGGACATAAAATGGAGCGCCGTTAGGACCGATCGGGAATCAATCCTAATCCCGATCAATTGAAGGAACTGGTGTAACATACCATATTGGCAACGCGACAGATTGCCGCGCCACCATTGGTAGGCAACGCGGTGATGAGCTTCGCTATCCAGGCGGCTTCTATCTTTTTCGAACATGTGTCTGTATAATCTTCTCTCTCGTACACTCAAGCCGTCAAACAAATTCCGTTTTTAATGTATATATTTCACCACTTCTGGCCTTCATCTTCACTATCGGCTTGTTACCCATTGTGCTGAGGACACCTAGGCTATGGTGCAACAAAGACAACAACATAGTGCGGAATATGCACTTACTCCAATGTGCACAAGCAGGTAAAATCTGATGATCTCTACCTACGAATTATTTGTTTACTCCAATGTTCTGCACTATTCGTTCAAGAGAGGCATCCATCTCCGTGTGTACACCGCAGGTAGCACTGGAAATGATCAATGTCTATTACGAAACCGAAACGTGAATTGCACCGGCACAGTCGCCCTTGCAACCAGCCGAGCACGTGATCGGCAATCGGCAATGCTGCACTATTTAAAAGTCAATGTTACCGTGATAATAAACTTGATTGTTGACTGCTGCCTAAGGTAAATGTGGATACCTGCCTATTGCATATGCCGCCGATACATACATACGTATATAAATAGCTGGGTGTTTGTGTGCATTGCTTTGGATTACTTAATGCTGAGATAATTGTTACCGTAATATGCTGTAAATGTATTATGTCATTATGCATGTTATTTAATAATTCATGGACGTGTACCCCGGGAAATGCAACGGGATGCGTAAAAAATCAGTTAGCGCAACTGTTGAATCGATAAATCCTTGGTTGCTTCTGCAAACGAGATATTAAGGTATCAATACGTTCATTGTTAGGTCTTTGACAGTATTTTTTAGTAAGCAAAGCTGCGACAGCTGATCGGAAAAAGTTGGGTTATCTGATTAGGGTTTAGAAATTCATATAACCTCCTCACTCTGTGCAATGCCCAGACAATATCCAGCCTCGAATATGGTTCACATGCTTGGAGTGCTGCATCTCCGACTATACTGCCCATGGTCGATGCTGTTTGGAGGAGGGCTGTCCGACTGATCCCTGACACTTGTCTAGCGGATAGTCTCGGGCCCATTTTACATCGACGGGCGGTCGGCGATCCAGCTATCTCTTACCGAGATGCCAACAGACTTTACTCCTTAAAACTCTTCTTCAAGATACCAGCGCGCTTTTGACCTACCAGGTTAAAACGCCACGTCGCTCTGTCGATTTTTGTACTTCCTTCGGTACGACCACTGCTTTGTTCCTATGGTGTCAAGATGGAACAACATTCTGCGTGAGGTTTTTCCAAGTTCTACTAACCTCAGGCAGTTCAAAAATTAGATTATCAAAATGATTATGGAGTTATGGCCAAGGAGGTGTCATCCTAATTCTGGGTCTGCAGCCTGACCACAAAGTGTTAACTACTAAACCAACCAACGGCAACGGACAGATGTTTCGTCCTTGACACATATCTAGGATCACTATTAAGATTGTGCAAGAGTAAAGATTATGCTATTATGCAACTCACATATCCATTTTTCGAATTATCTAAAGGCAAGGGCCCTACAACATCTTCTAACGGCTTCATACCCGCTTGACAGAAATTCGTTGATACTATCCTATCTCATACCGCTACATCTGTATGTCTTATTCCTCACGCTTCAAGGGAGAACACATACAAGGAGCTTTCGTAATACCGGTTTTAATTAGTGGCTGTCGATTTAGTGATGTGAATTTTCTGACCACTGATATTATTTTGGATACGTTGCTTTCATTATACACCGAAACTCGGTTTTTGCTTGATGTTCATAGATTATATGAGGACTCAAACTTCATTACGAGCTTAGTTTAACACTGTTACTGTGATGCTTGAGCCTTAAATTCAGTTCAAAATCCGATGATCTCGTGGGAATCTTGACCTCAAAAATGTCTTTGCTCAAATATTATTTGAGGTGATTTATTTGTCTTGAACATTTCCTGACATCGAGCTTGGCTGAGATCCGTCGCTTTGTTGGTGCTCTACTTCGACCTGAAATCTATTGATCGGGTCCTTGATATGGTTCTGGAGCTTGGCTTCAACCGGAGATCGATTGATCTCGTTGGAACCATTGACCCTCAATTTTGTTTGATATAATTGTACCAATATAGACTAAATTAGCTTCTAAAATCTGTCGAGCCACCCTTGGACTAGTTTGACTTCTTCTTGATAACTTTTGTTCAATCCGTACTATGTTTGTGTTGACTTCATCTGCTCAGACCGCATAATAATGGTCATTGACAGAGCCCTCTGATGGCGTTGTTCTTTGCATTCTGCCATGAACATGGAAAGAGAGTGAATATCTCTAGAACTACAATATTAGCGGAACCCCAAGAAAGACTGCAGTTTGATGTAGTTATTCTCGCAACCCTCCAAAGGAATCGTGCCACTCTATTAGGAGTACCTGCTTTGAGACCAACATGGGAAAGAAGAGCTGGCGCCAGCAAGAAACAGCCATGCGAGCTAATACATTGGCCATTTTTTAACCGAGTTGTCATCAGCAAGTTTAGCCAATTCACAATCGCTCATCAACGTGGTGCTAAACCTTTAACTCTACTCTAAAATTCAGTTTGCTCAGATCTTTGCGAATTTATTCCACAATGTGGCACCTATCTCATTAATGCTTCCATGAAACTAGTAGTAGAAACTTGATAGTAGATAGTAGATTGCTTACTAAGCAATATGATGTGGGTTTCAAAAATGGTCTAACAGCTTCCTCTCTATTTCGCGTCGAGTCAAAGTCAAAGATAACCACAGATATTTAGCTTCCCAGGTGCTCACCCGAGCCCCCTTCACTGCCCAGGAGCCCATACGTCACGCCATTGTCTTGGTATGCCAAATGATCCTTATTTTGTGCTTCAAAGGATAGCTGGCTAGACATTTAAATATGTATACGTGAGGTTTTCTTGAGAATGTCGATACTGAATGTTCATACACCATTAGGTTCATTCTAGCTTTTAGATGTTTTTAAAGTTTTTATAGGAGTGGCTGCATTTAACACTGATGAAAACTGCAAAAACTTGCTGTAATCAGTAGCATAGTATAATAAAGGATTTTAAATCTGAATACATTTATTAGTATAGATAACCATCGGCATCCTACTGAAAAAACGTATAATTTACTATTTGCCTAAAAAGTCAGCGACACGAGTTTTCTAGTATTCCTTATGCAGAGAGATCTACCGATCGTACCGGTATCGTTCCATAGAGCTACTAGGTTCCTCTACATTTGTCTATGGAGTATCGACAAAACTCCATTGGTTTAGACAAGGTGAAACAAATCGTCGTCCATACCGCAAACACGCGTATCTGACAAAAAATCAAATTCAAGTTAACGGATTCAAATCAACAAGGGGTATAGCTTATCTTCAATCCCGCAAAGTGGCGTAACTGTAAGGTAGTTCACACACAGAGATATCAGAAATCATTATCATATTATCTAAAATAGAAAAGATATATGGAATCAAATAACTGTCGATATTCATTTTGCTTCTACTGAAAATTTTTATAAAATCACGACGAAATGGGAGGCCAACCGAAGTGACTCGATTTGAAAAGAATGCGATTTGTGCTACTTTAGCGGGGGATACCACTCCGGATACAATAATAAATCACATACTTCATTTATTATCACTATACAGGGTTTCAGAAAATTCCCATAAATATGGATCCAAAGACGCTCTCTTACCGAAATACACCAGGGTGATGAAGTTTAATTTACGAAATTGAAAAAATATATCCACAGAGCGGATAAATATACTGAGTTTTAGATGTTAGACATTTAGTGAGCACATCATCAGCATTAAACACACAGTTTCCCGGTCCAAACTAAATCAGGGTCATAGGAACTGCAGTACCTTATCGTTTAATTGGAAATACTTTTTACGCCACTGGCCGTTCCAGAGAGAATAAATGCATTTTAAATGTAACATTCAATTGTCCATAAATTTTGTGACTTTGTCAGATCACTCGTTTTCGAGATATTTATGTTTGATCATATCAGGTTAAAGTCCTAAAATATTCTTATGAGAAGGTTACGCCTCCCTTATTCTGAAATCGCTGTGTAGCTGAATAATTGAATAATCAGTAGCATAGTGACTTAACACTCATTAAACCTTGTCTATGCACACCACTGGTTTTTATGGTATACTTCTCCTGAGATTACTATGTTAAATTCTTCCGTTTGTCTAAAATCACAACTAGTAATTGTGAAAACAAAATTCCCTAAGAGACAAAATTGGTAGCAAATTGAATTGTATTCTATAAAATGCATCCTTTTCTCCGAAAAAGACAGTGACATAGAAAATATTTCCTATAGACGTCCAGGTACCCCAGTTTCTACGTTACTGATTCACTTTGGGCCGGAAAGCACTGTGTGCTCAAATTTTAACTTGTATGTATGTATGTATGTTTACCCGTTGAGTAATTATAACTTTTTTCGATTTTGTAAATAAAACTTCATCACTCTGTATCTCGGTATTAGAGTGTCTTCGGACCCATACTGTTATCCATGTACAAGTTGATAATAATATTTTATATTTTTGTTAAACAAGCATTTTTCATTCACATATCTAATTTCCCAGTGACTACGACATCGTCGATTGGACAGAAAGTTGACTGGGTTCGTCGTCATGTGAGATATGTTTCTACTATTCGTCATGTATATTATAAGACCTCAAAAAAATGATCGTTTTGAGCCTTATGTCGCGGTCGATACCAATACTAAGTATATACTCATTTCCGGTTAACAGAACGGACTATTTTGAGTTTTCTACCACTACAATGGGTGACAACGATTAGGTGCGGCATAAACTTCAAGGGAGCCTCGCATTAAGGTTGTATTTATCGATGATAAAAACCACAGTAATCAGTTCCGCCAGACACGCCAATTAAAAGAAAACTTTTTGACTGTCTACCAGCCTATACTGTACTAAAGACTCATATTGCTACATCTCTTGGTTTTCTTAGATAGCGATCAGCATCCATTTAAGAAGAGTGACGTACAGGGAAATAAATTACAGTATAATTTCCAATGGTAATATCGCGTTCCATTGTTAACCAATTCGGTGAGTCCTCTTAAGGAGCCTATTACAGCTGCAGTATGCTTAAATTACCCGGACAGTTCGGGACCTCATGTGAGTTCAGCAGAAAACTTGAGCTGTTGATGTGTACGCAGTTGAAAATTCGTCTACGTGAATGACCTCTCGTGCTGTCGCGCCGTCATCAGGTTACTTGCTTAAAGTGAATCAGCGTGCACGGTGCAGTTGCGAAAATTATGCCAAGCTATACGAGGATTTATCCATACGCTAGATCCCTATCCTGCTTGCAATAGACGTACATAATTCATATTTTTATATTTTCACCCACAATTCCGACTAACATCATCTCACTACTTTGGCGTTCAATAGTCTGTAAAAATATTGCCCGCCTGCTGAAAACTAGTTCCCTGTTTTAATACGGCAGGTATCAATCGTTCCTCATTCGAATTTTTTCTTCTCGTAGATGTTCTTTGAATTTAAGAGATAGTCTGAAATATTTTGGTGCAGACCTTGTCGAATGCGGTCGATAACTGACCAGTTTAGAGCCTACTTGGTGTAGGGAGGTCACACCAATACAAGAGGTACAGCAGAGAGCATCATTCCGATGAGGTAATACGCCAACGGTTAGTTTCCCACAACGTTTATCTTTAAAAGCATCGACTAGTCAGTCTTGTAATACCGTATCATGCACTTTTTTAACGTTTTTGTCGGTAGATACGCTTATATTTGGCCCAGCACCATGATAGTTTCCACAAGATGTAGGTCAAAATTCATTTTCGAATTAATAATACAACTTGGTTATTAATTAATATTTACCGACCTCCTTCCGGTAACATTGCTGCTTTTTTGGATACATTTGAGGACATGCTCGGTGTAGTTGCTGTTGGTTATGACTGTCTGGTCGTCACAGGAGATTTTAACATTGATTATCTGAGTGAATCTAATCACACCAGGCGTTTTAAAAATATATTGCAGTCATTCAATCTCTCAAAAAATATCTCAGCCAACTAGATATGATATGCTAACAGTTAAATCAGGAACCGTACCAATAGACGAGAATATAACAGACTATAATTTAGTTTATTCGGTCTTTAACATTCCAAAAATAAACAGTTCTCCAAAATACGTTACTTATCGCGATTATAATAATATCCGTGAACATTCATCATTTCTCTATGATGGTATGCAGCTTCCGTGGAATATACTATTGTACCAATGTAGATGAAAAGGTGAAATTATTTAATAAATATATTTTAACAATCATTGATAAACATGCTCCTCTAAAAACAAGAAAAATCAAGATAGAAATGCCGTTTCTTCCCTGGATAACCAAAAACATAAAACTTTTGATAAAAATTACAGATAAAGCACATAAAAAATACTTAAGATCCAAAAGAGATCAGCACCTTAGATATTATAGACAACTAAGAAATTTCACTAAGCATGCTATTATCCGTGAAAGTTGCCTATTTTAAACAACTAGCAAGAAAAAAACAAGACGATTATTGGAAAGCCGCGCGAAGGCTTAATCTGACCAACCAGAGGACTCATACTGAACTTCCTGACAATCTCTTAAATCCATCCGAGATACATGTTTTTTTTCAGATGACTGATAACATGTGAGACACTGCATCATTAAACTTAATCAGTTTTTATGAAAATAATCAAGCTGTAAATAATAATTTGGAATTTCATTTGATAGATCGGAGCAGACTAATAAAAATTGTTAATTCCATTTCATCAGGTGCGATTGGAGAGGATGGCATACCCATCAAAGACATAAAATTGCGTCTTCCTTTCTGCGCAAATGCATTGATTAATATTATTAACACATGCCTTTTGGAAAATACCCTTCTGTTTGGAAAAAGGCTATTATGAAACCCATATCAAATGTTGGCGAGCCTAAAGAACTTAAAGATCTAAGCCAATTAGTATTTTGTCCTCTGTGTCAAAACTTATAGAAAAGCATATTTTTGTTCAGATGTCGGAATTTTCTGAATCACAAAATATTATTCCTCAATAGCAATCGGGATTCAGGAAGAATTTTAGTACAACTACAAGCTTGGTAAATATTTTAAACGATGTCCGAATGCATGAGGACCAAAAAAACGCTACTTGCATGATTCTGTTAGATTTTAGCAAAGCTTTTGATACTCTAAATCACGGAATGCTGCTGGCAAAGCTAAGCTATTTTGGATTCTCACCTAATGCAATAAGTTTTTTAAAAAGTTACCTAAGTACTCGATCAAGCTTTGTTATGATTTCTCAAGGATCCGTTTGCCTCAAATCTGAATTTAAACCTGTAAAGAAGGTGTCCGTCAAGGATCAATCCTTTCACCCTTGTTGTTTAGTATTTATGTGGCAGATATGTCTGAAGTTGTTTCTTATGCAAGGCTTCATCAGTACGCCGATGACTCACAACTTTGTATTGCTATTAATAACGACAATTTAGATACAACCGAAAATCACATTAATTCAGACCTGCTAGAGGTAAACAGTTTTGCCATACGCCACAATTTAAAACTCAATGCTTCTAAATCAAAAGCTTTAATTTCGGGATCTAATTTCATACTTAGGAGAAATTTTGAACGTAGTTTGATTATCAGTATAAACAATGAGATAGTGCCCATTGTTCACGAAGCAAAGAATCTAGGCGTAATCTTCGATAATGCATTATCATTTGAACCACACATAAAGAAAAAATTGACGGCAGCTTACATACGATTAAGAAATATCTCCAAACTAAAAAAATGTTTACTACCTAAGCAAAAGTATTTCCTTTGTCAGAATCTCATACTGTCGCTTTTCGACTATGAAGATATAGTTTATGGGAGCTCGTTGGCGTATACTACTAAAAATGCGATACAAAAATTGCAGAACGCCTGCATGCGATTTTCATTCAACATACCTTATCGTAACCACATAACACCTTACCTAAACAATTTGTCTATACTAAATATGCTAAATCGCAGGAAACATCATTTATTTAATTTCATCTATAGAATAATAAAATCAGGAAAACCTCCTTATTTGAAAAATGAGCTTTTAACTTTTAATCATTATTACGGGACAAGACATCACCAGAATTTTTTTATTACTCCTCGACATAGGTCTGCAGGATTTCAACGTTCTTTTTCATTTCTTGCAGTTAAAATGTGGAACAGTCTAAATAATGATGTAAAGGTCACAAAGAGTGTTCTCAAAGTATATAATGGCCATGCTTCTTCAGGATCAATAATACAATAATGAGTGTGATTGTGCACGGAAACTTGTTGTCAAGTTTATTATTTCAAATTTATGTTTTTATTAAGATGGAGAAGCAAGCATGTGATGATAGATGTTGTATGTGTGTGTAGATGTATTTCGGTGTTGTTAACTGTATGAGGGTTCGTCGGTGTGGCTTCGCGTCTGCTGCTTTCTGCCGCTCTTCGCCCCCTCTCCGGTGCTCCCCACCCGTCGGAACGTTGACTTTTTAAGTAAGTAAATATTTTTTTTTCTTCTGCAATATCAATGGTTCATGCTCGTAATAAATGAAGTCATTAAATTCCAAAATATTGTTTATATATTATAATATACCTGTATGTGTAAATTAGTGCAACACAGGGCATTTTCACACCCACCCTACTTATGTAAGCCTGGGTGTTAACGGTCATTTGATCGAAGATTTGTCCTTTTTGCCAAAAATATCAAGTGTATGTATTTTCTATAATACGGTAAATGTAATCTTTTTTTTTTGTTTTTGTTTTTTGGCAAATAAACGTATTTTGAATTTGAATTTGAATTTGAAATGCCGCTTTACGAACCAGCCACTGTAGCTCAGGGGCAGAGCTCTGGCTTTGTAAATTAGGAGTCGTGCGTTCAATCCTCACAGGAGGCAGATTGTGGTATACCTTTTTTTTATTTTCTAACCCGCTTTTATTAGCTTGACCTGTATGTATGTCTCTATGTATGTATACGTAACGGAATCTTTGAGAATAATTTTTACCAATTTCCAGAAGTTTGATTAATTTGAAACTTACGTATCAAGGATCGATGGCAATGCAATATCATGACATGTCCACAAAAAACTAATTGATAAATCGAACTAAAAATTAAAAAATAGATTATAGTTTAAAAAAAGCAAAAGAAAACACTTTTTATTGCCAACCGAACTAAAAATTAGAAAATAATTTTTAATAATAAAGAGTTTATATTACAGTCGTAGATGGTCGAACAATCAATCATGATTAATTACCTCAAAATAAAATTATAATAAAAGTTATTAACAGAATAATTCAATTCAGAGTAAAAAGTGCATTTTATTCCATTTTTCATAACTCTTATAGATAATTGCCAATAGAATGATTGTAACATTGAATATATCAAACACCCCATGCTTTTTACTCTGAATTGAATTGAATTATTCTGTTAATAACTTGAATTTTATAATTGATTTTTAGGTCATTAATTATTATTGAATGTTCGAACATCTACTACTGTAATATAAACTCTTTATAATCAAAAATTCTTGTCTAATTTTTAGTTCGGTTAGCTATATTAGCGTGTGTTTTAAGCTTTTTAAACTATTATTTATTTCAAAACAGGCTAGAAGCAATATCCAGTAACTTTGTTGCGCATCTCTATAGTTCAACCTTATTAGTGTTCTAACTTAAACCTTCTCTTTATCTTTATCCCGATACACCTCTCATTTTAGGAACCCACTCATACAGCATGCAATCTTGAATTAGAATAACATCTACTCAACAAACTACAACCACCACTCTCAACTATCAAAGCTTTAATCCATCCCATACATAACGCATCGGCGTATGTCAAAAATCAAGCCGGATATTTCACATTGTTTCGGATAAACGTTTCGCTACATGTTTTACACGTCGCGTCGGTTCACATTCACGATAGGGCCCGCGTAGTTATTACTTTTTGAACAACTGAGACCATTAAGGAACTCCGAAAATGCCAATTCTATTTCTTTATGTTACTTTTCGGCCCCCTACTGAGCGCGGGCCGTGGCAAATGCTTGTTCCGGAAGTCGTTGTATCCAGTATACAACTTCTTCCCGTCCAAGTGATTGCGCACGCGTTAAGGAATACCTCAGTACCGATTGCCGGGTGGCGGTACAAGTCCGCCAACGGGCCACTTTAGGTCTATTTAACACCACTAATACGTAAAAAGAAGGTGGTAGACAAGGACCAGTCGACCGAGGCAGTACCACCCGCTAGCTTTTCCCAGGGTGTCTTATAAATGTTCGCATGTTTCCACACCTAAGCTATGCAGTCGGTTATCTACCAAAACAAAGAAATTAATGATGATGGATCCCTCGAGCACTAAAAACTCCGGACGTAAACTCACTCCACTCTCGGAATGTCCGGGTGGAGGGTGGGCTCGAGGGAACAACATCGAAGATAAAATTTGTTTTTCGAACATCTGCGGGATCAACAGCAACATTGATGCTGTTCATCACTACCTGCAATCCAATCGTCCCGCCGTGCTTTTCTTGGCGGAGACAAAAATCTCAGAGGCTGCACCGATTAACCATCTCAACTTCCCAAACTACGAGGTGCACTCCAATCTGAGAAAGAACGGGGGAGTTGTGGCTTTTGTCCGCAGCAGTCTTTCCTGCTCCAGGGATCTTTCTTTGGAATCAGACCGGAAGGACATTCTGTGGCTTCGCCTCAACTACAAAACATCACCCAAATTTATTTGCTGCCTTTATCGCTCTCCCTCGAACCATAACTGGGATGACCTACTCGAATACCTCGTCGTCCAGATCGACTTCCTGAACATCAATCACCCCGCTTCAGAGGTAGTTCTTCTCGGTGATTTCAATGCCCATAATGAGCTTTGGTTGGGCTCAAATAAGACCGATGCAGCAGGTCGTGCAGTCGAAGCGTCGCTCTTACTCAAGGGCTGACCCAGCTGGTGACGAGCCCTACTTTTTTCTCCCGCGTCTCGTCACACGCCAGTAGCCTGCTGGATCTCTTTCTGACCACGCATCCTGCCCCTTACAGCACTGCCGTCCTGTCCCCCCTGGGTAACTCAGATCACGGTGTTGTGGAGGTTAGGTTTCGGTCAGAAGCCGCTGTGGCCGCAGAAACTCGCACAGGCCGCAAAACTTGGCATTACGGACATGCCGACTGGGAGGGGCTCAGAGACTTCTTCTCTAGCTTTCCTTGGAGAGATGTCTGTTTCACTGACGCGGATTCGTCGACTGTCTGTTCTTCAATAACCGAAATTATCCACGTCGGAATGGAGGAATACATCCCTCACACAGTGAAAGTTCCTAAACCAGGGTCCAACGGCTGGTTCAACAAATCGTGTGACACTGCTCGCCAGCAGAAGATCAAGGCCCACAGAACCTACTTACAAAACCCCACTGTAGAGAACAGACAAGCCGACGTCGAGTCCAGAAACAAATATAACGAAGCGGTTCGCAATGCCAAAACCCAGCATGATATAAAAGTTAGGCACAGGGTAATGTCGCAGCGCAATGGCAGTCGGTCTTTCTGGACGCTGTCCAAGCAGATTGAAAAGAACTCCTCACACAGTAGCCTTCCACCACTTACGTGTCAGGATGGAACTATTGTATTCGACTCAAAGGCCAAGGCGGAAGTGCTAGCCAAGATCTTTGCTGCCAACTCCACCATGGACGTCCCCACCAACGCCCAAGTGCCGTCAATTCAAAGGGTTCCCCACACTATGCTGGAGGTAACATTCAGGCATAAGACCGTAAGACGAGTGCTCTTGTCGCTCGACATCAGCAAAGCTTCTGGTCCGTACTTGATTCCTGCCATTGTACTGAAGAGATGTGCAGCTGAGCTTGCTCCAGTTCTTTCGCGTCTCTTCCAGATATCTTATGAATCCGGCACCTTCCCAGAAAACTGGAAATTTGCTCATGTACAGCCCATCCCAAAAAAAGGATCTAAAACCGACCCTTACAACTACAGGCCTATAGCTCTGCTTTCTGTTATCAGTAAAGTGATGGAGAGGTGCATAAATCGCGAGCTTCTGGACTACCTCGAACGTCACAGCTTGATTAGCGACAGGCAGTACGCTTTCCGGCACCAACGATCCACAGGGGACCTCCTAGCTTACGTAACGCAACTGTGGAGTAAACTCATCCAGTCTCATGGTGAGGCTCATGTTGTTGCTCTTGACATCACGAAAGTGTTCGATCAGCTGTGGCACGCTGCCCTCTTGAGCAAACTTCCATCCTACGGCCTCCCAGAAAAGCTTTGCAGATGGGTGGCTGACTTTATCTCTGGCCGCAAGATATCCGTCGTAATTGACGGATTCTCCTCTTCATCCCACAACGTCAACGCGGGTGTTCCCCAGGGATCGGTCTTGGCTCCAACACTGTTTCTCTTACATATCAACGACCTCCTTTCCTGCACGAACAACCCAATCCACAGCTTCGCTGATGACAGCACTCTACATGCAGGAATTCAGAGTGACAAGCCGATCTCTGCCGCTGAGCTGGAAAAAAGAAGACTAGCGACGACTTCTTCTCTGACAAGAGACCTGGAGGCTATCACTGCTTGGGGACGCAACAATCTTGTACAGTTCAATGCTTCCAGAACACAGTACTGTACTTTGACGAACAAAAAGCGTCCTAGCGCTCATACAGTTTCGATGGACGGTCGAGTTCTACCAAAGAGCCATTCATTTCGGCTGGTCGGAGTCCAGATCACCGAGGACCTGATCTGGCACGAACACATCTCTTCAATAGCTGCAGCTGCTGGGAAAAAGCTAGGCTATTTGTTTAGGGCTAAGAAGTACTTTTCCCCGCATGACCTTCTCACTCTATACAAGGCCCAGATAAGGCCTAGCCTCGAGTATTGCTCACACATTTGGGGTGCTGCCGCCCCGACTACATTGTCCATGCTCGATGCTGTCCAGAGGAGGGCGGTCCGACTGATCGATGACTCTTCTCTAACAGACAGTCTCGGGACTCTTTCGCACCGGCGGGCCGTCGGCGATCTAGCTCTTTTCTATCGCTACACCAACGGGCTTTGCTCCTCAGAGCTCTCTTCCATGATGCCGCCGCGCGATGTGCCTGCCAGACAGACCCGCCTGACTTCGGCGTCCCATCCTAACCGTGTCAAACTTCGTACATCCAGAACTGGCCGATACGACCGCTCCTTTGTCCCGAGGGTATCTAGATTGTGGAACAACCTACGGGAGGAAGCTTTTCCCAGTTCTACTAATCTTAGGCAGTTCAAAAATCGTATTAACAAAATTTCTTTGGGATCATCATAGCAGCCGCGGTGTTCCGGCATTTAGGCTTCTGCCTGCGCGGCTGTTTCGATATAAAAAAAAAAAAAAAAAAATATCGTTCGAAATGCAAACTCACGCAGGGCGGTAGACGAGTGAGCTCGATTCCACTTCTGATGTTATAAACCTTTCCGGGAACAGTTATTCTAAATCAGATTCAGCCCAGTTTTGAGAAATCAAAGATGCCAGAATCAAAAGTATCGTAGTCGGGGGATCGAAACAACCAGAATCGATTCTCTAGGGATATCGGAATCGATTACTCAGGTTCCTACTGCAGTATCTTCCGTAGAAACGGCTCGTTCAGTACCGACCCAGTTCTACCAAATAAGTGAATTATGTAAATCTAATCGTAAGGAACTAGCGGCCCAAGTAGAGAAACAACTCGTTGGTGTCAAGTCCGCCTTATTTTTCGCACAAAATAACTAGCATAGCTAAAATAAACATTTTTTTTTTATATATCGAAACAGCCGCGCAGGCAGAAGCCTAAATGCCGGAACACCACGGCTGCTATGATGATCCCAAAGAAATTTTGTTAATACGATTTTTGAACTGCCTAAGGTTAGTAGAACTGGGAAAAGCTTCCTCCCGTAGATTGTTCCACAATCT